TTGGTGAATGCAGAGGAAGAGCTTCTGCTGTGACGAAGGGTCGAGGAAGGGCAGTTGAATGCAAAAGAGGACCTGACGGATTTAGGATTGGAGCTTGTGCTGCTGTGACTGAGAGTGGAGGAGGAGCGGTTGAATTCATATGTGTGTTTGTTTGTACTGCTTGCCCCTGCTGAATCGAATGTTGAGGGCTTCTAGCTGCTAAAAAGAAGAGTGTCATATAGAAATCATTTGCTTCATCCAATTCACTTCTCACCTTACCTTTTACAGCTGGAAGAACAGTGGCTGCAGTCGGATCTGCACATTTACGCACAAAGGCGTTCGCCAAGAGACTGTTCATTTCTACTGTACTCATATTGGCTTTACACTCCATCATTTTGGAGTTATATTCAGCATCAAGCTCTTGGAATTTCCCATCATACTCACTGCGTATTTCAGCCATCTTCTTCTCGAGTTCAGCCTTCAGTTCTGATCTCTGCTTACAAACGACGAGACAATGAGCAGTTAGGAAAGAAAACCGAATATACCAAGAATCTGGAGAAACTAACCTTGTCTGCACATTTCTTCCTTGTGTTCTCATCTTCTCTCCGCAGCTTCTCCAGTTCGCACTCAAACGGGCAAGTGAACATAGGAAACAGTGTCTGAGGATTCTGTCCCATAGCATCTCCCTCTAATATGAGATCTGATACACTATACCACTCCTGCTTCCAGAATGAACATTTACAAACAAGTTTAAACCAACAAAGAGAAAGAGTCTTTTAAAGAGTAAAGAGGCGGCAAGTAACCTGATCAGAGTCAGCAGAACCTGGAATTTGCAATGCGAATTCCTCAAGAATGTCTTGGTCCAAAAAGGCATGACCATCTCTGATCAAAGCTTGCTCTACATTCAAAGGTAACTCCGTGGAGGCAGCCTGTGCATGATTGACACAAGGCAGAGACATCTCTGGAACCCTCGAGGAAACATCTTCACTAGGAGAAGGTGGCATCAATCCAGGGCAATCTAGTTGAGTGATGCTCGACTTGCTTTGTGCATTTGGTAAACAATCTTGAGATTCCACAGGAAACATTGCTTTTTTTTCCGACGACAAAGACTCTGTTACATATCAGAACATATATCTCAAGACTGTTAGAGAGAAAACCAACCAAAGCTACTCAATTTGCATTCTTGCAAGCAAAAACTAGAAAAGTGATTACTAAAACAAATCTCCGAAAAGTTGGAAATGAGAGATTAATTAAAAAGTGATGAACTTGGAGTAAGAGAGAGAGACAATATGGTGGAGACATAAACCTGTAAAAGTGATTACTAAAATATTTTCATATGGTTAAAGAAATGGTCCAGTATGATTTATTAAACACGAGTC